GACTGAATCTTTGCTCGTGGTTGCCGGGCTGTTTGCCTGGCAATGGTGTGAGTTCGTCGGCCTCACTGGCAAGAAGCCTCCAGCCTTTTCCAGGGTTTCAAGCCAATTTCTCCTGGCGCTCTAGGCCTTCCCAAGGTAGCCGGGACTATAGGCTGTTGCACCACATGGGCCTGGGCTGAAATTTTGTTTTAGTAGACGCGGATGGGTTTCACCCGATGCAGCCAGGCTGGTGCTCGGGAACCTCCCTGAGCCTCGTGGATCCGCCACCTCGGGCTCAAAAGTGCTTGGGATTACAAGGGCGGTGAAGCCCACGGTGTCCGGGCCCCTATTTTTGTTATATTCTTAGTAGAGATGGGGGTTTCACCCGATGTTGGCTAAGGCTGGTCGTCGAACTTCTTGACCTCAAAGAGGGAATTCCGCCGACTGCTCAGACCCTCCCAACGGGAGGCTGCTGGATTATCAGGCATGAAGTCAGACCGTGCCCAAGCCAATAAACATGGGTATTAAAACAGACCATGCCGGGCGAGGCACTGTGCCGCTAGGTTTAGTGTTGTGTCATGTGTTAAGGTGATTGACATGCAAAAAGTTTTGTCTGAAATCACACAACCGTCGAGTATTGGTTTAGGTATCTTACCATCTGGTTTACCGTGGCGCTTAATGAATAAGAAATCTGAGGCTTAGAAAGGGCAGGCAGCTGTCTGAGGGGAACAGATATAAAGTCAGCAGGACTCATAGGCAGGTTGTTCAGACCCCAGAATCTCTGCTGCCATTCCTGAGACAATCAGGACATGTCCTGGAGAGGACCAGGCTGGACACGCTAAGTGCCCTAAGAACTCAGAACCAGGGAAAGGGCACAGTGCTGTGGATGGCCCCAAGTGGCAGGCCAAGGCGGAGTCAGAGTAAGTGAAGAGGCACAGATGAGGGGCTGCCTGACTGGAAGTCCTGTGGTTAGAGGAGGAGGGAGAAGATCCAGAGGGTGGGGCAGGGGTGCAAATGTGCACACACACAAAGGTTCTTGCCCGGAGGTGTGCCATGAGGAATGTGGTGCTGTCCCGGATCAGCACAAGTAAACAAGGAAGGCCAGGCAGGAGGTCCCATCTCCAGCCAGGTGGAACAGGGTGGGAACAGAGGGAGCAGAGAGAGAAGAGTGAGCAGGAGAGGCTGTGATGAACCTATCCCTCACCAGCAAAGCCATCTCTGTCTTGTGGCTGCCGGGGACTTTCTCCTGGGCACCTTGGTAAAAGACTAGTGATTAGTTAGTTACAAGCTAAGCTGGGCTGAGAGTGGATGTAAAGGCCCCAAATTAGCTGTTACCTTCTCTGGGAACTAGAACAAAGTGAGCTTTTCATCTGCTGAAATGCTGTTTATGAGGCAGTAAAATCCAAAGCCAAGAGGCATGAATGTATTCTGGTTAGGGTAATACTCTCCTGGGCAAGCAGCTGTGTGAAAAAATGCTCAGGAAAACCATCTAAAAAGGTAGACAGGCTGCATTGGCCGGGAATCGAACCCGGGCCTCCCGCGTGGCAGGCGAGAATTCTACCACTGAACCACCAATGCTCCAGCTGGCAGAGATGTTTTTACAAAATGCTCATATCTTCAAGTACGAGCGTCATAAAAATATGGTATCCCTAGTCTTCCCAAGTTCTCCCAAGTAAAAAAAGTTCCTCCTTTGAAGGCCCCACTAGCTTCTCTCTCCAAGTTAACTTACTTTCTCCAGTTTCTTTTTCCAGGAGCTGTCCAAACAC